TATTCAACGATGATTTGCAGGAGCTATCCCTTCCAAATACCGAAATCTTGAGTTAGTCTACTTTCATTTTTCTTTCAACAGTTTAGTGTCTCTAGTTTATTTCAAGTTTACTAAAGCAAAAAAAAGCTGGGTGAAAAATTCTTGTTTTGTTTGATTGCTTCAGTGTGCCGGCATTCACATTCGCTTTGGACTTGTATAGCTAGTTCTCTCCGAAAACGTTCATTACATCCATTTTATAAATGTCTTGCGAGCTGTTTATGTTTGTCAAATGGCGAGAGTTGAGTATGGAAATACATAAGTGAATAAGTAATTAGCATGAAGTCAAGGAAAGATAAATAAGAGAAGGAGATGGACAACACTGTTGTTATTGTTAAAATCGTTTTTTCTCCCGCTTTCAAATGTAAATACGTGGGTGATGTGTTTTTTACTGTGCTCTGTTTTCTTCTGTAATGATGTTCATCAGACATCTTTTTGGATGATGTTGACGACGAGATTGTTGTCAAAAAAAGACGATGGAAACCTGGAATGCCTTAATACTTTATGTGTAAAATCTATTTGCTTTTGTTTAACAGTGAATGCTTCGTTTTACTGTTCAGTCGGCCATCAACAATTTCCTATTCAAACATCAAATTTTTTTACACTCATAACTGCAACAAAAGTGGTTCTTAAAAGAATTTGAAAAAAAAATTTTTTTGAAGTATTTCGATATTTTTTTAATAATGCAGACTTGGTGGAAAAAACCAAGAAATTTTAATAGCACAAAGAAACTAACAATTAGAGAAATTTTGTTGAAATAACTGCTGTTACTGTTGCTGCTCCTGTTGCGGGAGGAAGAAAGCTGAATAAAAGAAGGAAAATTTGATTCAAAAAGAACTTCCATTTATTCATCAGTGTTTGATGTTTTAAACTTTTTTTATTGCGCTTTATATGAGTGGTTAGTTAAGAGGGAGAGGAAAGTTTTTTTTTAAAATTCTTAACGGCACCTTCAGTGAACGTTTCTACCGAACCATGACGAACAAGTCAGCAGTAGTGAACAGAAATGTTCTGAAGGTGCCGAAAGCTTCTACGTGTGAAGCCGGAAGATTTGCAGTTGAGTTTATTCTACTCGGTTTAGCAACTTTTGTTAAACATACACTTCGTTAACGCATTGTTTACCCACTGTCGTTATGCAAACTGAATGATCACATTAAAAAAAAATAATAATAAAAAAACAAGCTTGTCAGGACTTGATGATTTTTGTGGTGCTTTTTCATGCCAATCAGGTTCCGTTACACCTTTATAATGAGCTTTCATGTCGGCGAACAGGAGCAGTTATCCCGTTGTTCCCTGTGTTTGCTACCTCTCCTCCTCCCCGTTACGGAGTAATTCTTGTCGTTCTTCAACCAAGTCCTGCGCAATAGATAGCCAACACCATGACACTACGAATACGCGTCTTTATTGCCTTGCTGTCCTATGGCGGAGCCGTTTTTGCACAGTCGGCTTTTAATCAGCAAGTGCAACCAATGGACCCAAATATGTTGGAGATGATGCTTCCACCATTTCTCAGATATGCCGATACAAATGCACGCAGAGAATTCGAGACTATTGTCACTAACAGGGACATAAAAAAATCTGAAATTACAGCCAAATTGGATGACTGGGCTAATCGACAACCAAGTCAAGTTAAGGTATGATGGTAGTTAGCAACTATTTTGTGTGTTAGTAGAAGTCCAATAAATTGCGGTTTTACTAAGCGATTGTATACACCAACTTTTTCAAGTATAAAAAAGCAATTAAGCTAAGAATGGACGTATTTCAAATCTGCATATTAGTAATAAACCGTAATTTTCAAATCCAAAATTTGGCAAATTTTTAGAACGCATTTGAAAATGACAAGCAGATGCAGATTAATATGACAAAATTATTGGACGGCCAAAGGAAACGTATAGTTCAGGGACTATCTAAAGAGGCTCAAATTATTGCAGCAAAATTAGATACTTTACGGGAAAATCAAGATATAACACCAGCAGAAGAAATTCAACAGGTAAATTTATGGAGGGTGTCGAAAATAAAAGCTTATTTATAAGAAAACTAAAACCACTAGAATACTTTGGTCAGTGCAACTTGCCTGATAAATTTTTGTTGGGATGCTCGATTTAGAAAATCGCCTTTTATACTGGAATAAATTTGCAAAGTTCCATATGTTAATTCGATAATTTTATTTAAAAGTTGATAAAATTTTGATATGATAGCTTTTAAGTTGAGATAATTTTAGGTGCTTGAGATATTTAAAAATGCTTCTGAGGCAGTGATACAGGAACTAAGATCAGTAGATGCTCAAATGGCTCCAATGGGAGATACGCAACAACCATACCAAAGAAAGGTGAAATAATTGAACAAGAGGAACTTCAATTGGCTGACAGTTTTTGCAGCAGCTAGAAAGGAATAAATTTTAAGCTTTAAAATATGTTGTTTTATAATGGTATTTGAATAAAAACAACTTAACTGTTAATTGATGATTTCTATTAGAACTTTTAAATTTTTTGGCTTGTAATGGCTGAAAAAAAAAAACGATTTTATTCTAATTTATGCAATTCAAAAAAAAAATTTCTTGTTTTCAAGTCTAAATTATTGTTTTAAAATTTAATTTTGATAAATGAACATAGAATTCAATAAATGTAAAAAAAAATAATGATTTTTCAAAAATGTGCTTTGAATTTATCAATAAAATTTAGAATAATTTGAATATAGCATGTGTGTAAACAAAAGCAAAGTTTTTTTTTTCTTAACTTACATAAGTTTATAAGCGTCTTAGACCAGACAGGGTAATGTGAACGACGATAGCCGGATGAATGAGCAACCTTTAAAAGCAACCTAATTTTCACGCTACATTCTCTTGTCACTATGTTTGGATGTTAGTTAAGTTATCAAGCTGACTTCATTCACTGTCAGTGTTTGTTAAGGAAACATGGTTACTACTATTGTTGCGAGAAAGAAAACGAAAAACTAGTATAATGTTTAAAAAAAAAAATGCGTTATTGTAAATTTTAGCATAAAAAATATTCAACATATATGAGACGATATTGACACTCAGTAGTTTTCAGAAAGCAGTTTTTATTACTTTGAACATAAAGTAAAGTTTTGCTTTCTTGATACAAACGCTTACAGTCAATCAGTTTCAACAGTTAAAAAAAAAAAATTTCTGAAGTGAAAAAGAGCCGAACATAAGAAAAGATCTTTATTTTGAGAATTTTCTCTGTAGTTGTTAGCTTTTTTTTTTTTTTTTATTGTATTATCACCGATTGTTTATGCAATTATTAGTCATTACCTATCCAGCAACCATTATTGACCAATATGTGCCACTATGATTTCAATCAAGCTAGTCTACTTGGCTTGTTGTATTTGCTAGATAGTGGTGCACATAGTTTACTGAATATTATCAGCAACAATTGCACAAACTGATTGCTTAAAAAAAAAAAACAGTCGAAAGCAGAAACTGCTACAATTATTATGCTCTGCTAATCTTGATTCTCGATGTTGCTGATCTTTACAACTAGCTTTTATTGAATCATTCAGGTAATGCAAAAAAATGTGTGTGTTCTGGAACATCACAAACTGTTCGTCTGCATAGTCACTGTATATATCAGAATAAACATTGGTTGTGCAAAAAAAAATTGTTTGCCAATTTGATAAGGTAAAATTGTTGCAAGCGTTTTTGTATAATTACTGTCATTTATTATTGAAACTTTTGAAGAAGTATTTAACTGTATCAAATATCACTTAGCTGCATTGGTTTATTTCATTTTTTGAAAAAATGCTAAAAAATAGCTAAGCATTTTTTTTTTTTT